TGAATTACAGAGTGAGGCAAAGGGTCTGAAGAATAAATTAATTCATTTAATTCAACACTCTTGATGTGAAACCAAAATCTCGAAATAACATCGTAAATCATATAATTTGTGATCATATAGAATTCTGATGTTATTACCGGGCTGAAACTACGTACGAACAGTTGAAGCTGATTACTTAATTTTCACTCACTCAATAGGAACCTTGCAAAGAACAAGCTCAAAAGCCTTCAGTATGCCGCATTTGACGGTCTGGATCAACTGGACAAATTGTAAGTGCACACGAGGACATTAAAGAAAGTATTGCGTTCCATGGAAAATAAATGTGAAATTAAAATTGTTTCTTTTATGAAAATGAGGACAAACGAAGTATTTTAAAAGTATTTACATATCTGATTAGGCTTAACGTCGAGACCGCCGTTTGTGGCTTCCAAATGTGCCGGCGGTATTCAATGATTGGCAGACAACACTTGACTTGTGTGATTCGCAATATGAAGGCAGCTAGGATGGGAAAGTGCGTTGGCTGTCGTGCCTCTCACGTTCGTTTCACTGACGTAGAATTGACGTTCAATTTTCATTGTAAACTTCTTCTAAGGAACCATTACTGTTACTCTGAAATGCAGTTCTAATTCGTGCTAAGTTCAGTGTTACCCTGGCAATGCTGAGAGACATATCATGGTAGAGCGATCCCGGTCCTCAATCTTATTGTACTAACACAGACCTACGAAAATGTCTAAGCAATGCAAGTTAAAGTAGAACCTCTGAATTCCATATCAACTCCATGGTAACTCTAGTGCTTTCCTTCTTCTGCAGGGACCTCAGCGGGAACTCGATCAACACAATAGAAGACGGTGCATTCCTTGGTCTCTATCGTCTGAAGACCTTGTGAGTACTCTTTACTAATCCACGATATGTTCCGCGATAAATAAGTAAACGGAGTCCTCGATTTTTGTTACATAGGTTGCTAAGTAACGTGACGTATCCTTGACGACAAGCTGACGTGACTCCTAAGTTCGATTGCAAGAGTCTAAAACTCTTTGTGTTCTGTGACATAGAAATACTAAAATCTTCCCTTGTTTTCCTGAACTTACATTGCTGGGTTTCCGCCGAAACAAAGAACAGTTACTTTAAGGAGGCTGGCAACAGTTTCCAGCCTTTTTTTAACAACTATATTTTGATAGATGAATACTCCCTCAGTTTAACGAGTGATGCTCAATAATGGTATCACACAAATGCACAAGTGTGGCTCCGAACCCTCTACACAGAATATTTTTTTGAACTCTGTAAAACATGCATCATATCATGCTTATCGCAATTCGATAATACAAAATGGGGGTCACCGAGCTCGTGTTTGAGTTATAAGCGCTTACAGCTAAAATTGAGGGTGTTTTGGCAGTTCATACTGTTGGTATGGTAACCTATTGTGTCACGAAATTGACTCCAACATGTTCAACAATGATTGGGCAGTTTTTTGATACCATGATTGTGGCATCGACTGACAAAGAAAGGCAATAACGACCCATCAAAATCTAAGTCTTGGAAAGTGCTGGAAGCTGTTTTGAGCCGCCTTAAATCAAGTTGCTTCAAAACCCAATCTCCGTCAAGAGATAGAAATTCCGTTAAAGACAAGGAAATTGAAATTTCTAGTTTTCCTTGTGTGAACTCGAAATCTTACCTGAAAATATGTTAGTCAAGTATTTTTTTGCCATTGAAATTGCACCTTGTTCTCATTTTGGTCTTTCTTTGTATATTTTCCCTATATTGATAGAGCTTTGGTGTATTTCTTCCTGTTGTATTGCTTTTTAGATTTCTGAATTTTAATCAGATTAAAAAGATTGGAGCGTACCTGTTTGCAGATGTCTACTCCCTTACTACTCTGTAAGTACTGAAGAATTTTCCAACTGTTTAATTCTTTTAGGATTATCTTTAACTCTACTGCTGAAAATATCAAATAAATGTACGGCAAAGAAAAATAAGAATTGTCATAGTTGTTTTTAGATCACTCCGAGCTTCGGGAATCCCAGGAGGGTTTAGAAATAGACTAAATGGCCAGTCCTGAGGCACAAATGTTACTCACGTGGACAGCCCGAGTGGCTTCGCACGCCTTTCGCGGATGAACTGAATAGCATACCTAAAAATAGCTTGAGAAGGATTAGCTTTAGAATAAAGCCTGCCCTTCATGCCCTCTTAACTCTGTATGTCTGGTTTGTGGTGTCACACCATCAAAAGTAAAAATCGTAACCATTCAATAAATTAAGTCAAGAAGCTAAGATGTGAAAGGTGATTGATATATAAACAACCTCGCCAAGATTTAGGTCTGTGCGGTTTTTCATTCGNATCTGTTCCTCAAAGCTCACAGTTTTCCTCGAGCTACGCTCTCGGAAAACTGTTCGCTTCTCGGAACAGATAATGTCCAATTACAAATATCCGAGCATATTTTCAAAGTCAAATGGAGGCTATTGTGTTTATTATCCTTCAAATATTTTTTGCAACACGCGCAGTTTTGAAAATTTGGAAATATTCTCGGATATTTCCCAGTTTTAGCTGGGGAATATTCGGTCACGTGACGCGTTTAGACCAATCGCGCGTGAGCGAAAATATTTGATGATTATAAGCTTGCACATGTGCGTTTTGAAACGACAGGTATAATTACTTCTGATATTAGTGAGTGCTTCAATCACTGATCGTTCTTTTTTTATAGGTATCTTCATCGTAATAGAATTAATAAAATTGAACCTTGGAGTTTCTCAGCTACCAGGAAATTACAACAACTGTAAGTATCTAAGACAGAAAATATAACTCGCATCAGTATGCCACGCAGCTATCGATTGTTTATTCCAGTGGTTCTTACGTTGAGGCTGTAGATAACAAATCTAACATTTTACCAAAAACATCAGTGACTGAAAACTAACGAGCGGCGCTTTGATGTAAATGATTCTGTCAGTTTGTAAATTAACTTCAGAAGAATTTCATTTCAATTTTAATCTGAAGCTTGATCTCAAAGCAGCTCAGTTGCAGTACTTTGAGTTATTTTGGCTACGTACAAAGTTACTTTCAAATTGAAGAAACCTGAAAATAGTAGTTTACTAAGTTAGAAAAACACCAAAGAGATAATAATATACCATAAAGGAAAAACTGGGATGGTTATGGATGAAGATTCCAAGTTAAGCCTGGAGTTTTCAAGTTACACAAACCGTGACGTAGTTCCTTTAAAAGAGAAACGATCGAGAAACACTAATTTACAAAACTGTGAAGAATAATTAGATGTCCACGTTGTTTACTGAAGTAAGTTTATGTACACTGAACCAACCACCTAACGTACAATATTTGCGTTGACATTTGTTCTCAGGTATTTGTATTCCAACCTACTGACGTTTATTCCTGATAACATCTTTGAGGATCTCAGAGCCCTCCGTGTCCTGTAAGATTGTTTTCGATATTTTATCTCGTTTGATCCCTTTGCAGAATTTTATTTAGTCTACACCCTTGACATCAGTTGCGTCTTAAACTCATCTCTAGTTTTCTCTCTCGAGGAAACTGCAAGACGCGTTGGATGACTGATGAGAAGAGGTTCCTCGCCTAATTTTCGTTGATGGCGAAAGTCCGAGTACAAAAGGCCCATAACTCCTCGCGCACGGCGCTCAAATCAAGGAGGGGCGCCTGAGGACGAGGCCGAAACTAGCTAAACTTTATAAATTACTTTGAGAGTTACAGATCATCAATTAAAAGTCACATGAAAAATATTTATTTTTGTCACCAGACCTTAGCGATATAGGAGAGTAAAACTCAGTCCGTTATAAAATTTGATTTCTTGGTTTTGTGTCCACAGCCATCTCGGTATAAACATGATTACCTACATCGCGGATGGTGCTTTCCGATATCTTGGAAATCTTAACGTGCTGTAAGTTTACACACGAGCATGTACTTGATCACTTGTAGTTTGTTTTCGGTGTGTTATATATCACCAACGTTTTATCAGTTACTTTCATGACAGACAGCGAAGTTGTTCTTTCTTCTTGTGACTTAGTTCTCCTTAAAACATGCAAGCGAGTCTTCGACTCTGCTTATCTCCAATTTCTCGTGTTTTTATTTTTTGACGACAACCAGCAGTTAGATTCGCGCCGTTTTGACTAAACGCAAACTAAGTTATTGGTTTTGCCTTGACTACCGATGACACCAAACAGGTTTTATGTGATCTTGTTAGTCGCCTCATATTAGGGATCCGGAATCCAACATTTTTTGCGATGTTAGCGATTCTTTCTTTTACTTTTCTGATGTCGATTTGCTTGCTTTTCCCTCCAAATATCCGTCCAATTTGTCATTCATTTGCTCACTCAATATGCTTACCCAGTGACTCCCTGCTGAATTATCTTTTTCATACACTTGTAATAGTTTGTAATAACGTCCTTTCTTGACTCTACAGATATCTTGACTCAAATCGCCTCACCCTTCTTAACTCAAGGACGCTCGAAGGACTCTCAAACGTCAAAGATTTGTAAGTCAAAGAACTGAACTGTGCCATCGTGTGAGACAGTCTCAGAGGATCGACGACGCCCAAATTAAATGTCCCGATTTGAAATCCTTATCGGGTTTTTACCTGTTAGAGAGACTTACACAATCTGGGTTGCCAATTAGGCATCGTAGTCTATCGGTCAAAAGTTTGAGATAACTGATTGTGAAATTACTTTCTACACGCAGTTATATTAAATAAGCTATTCTCGTAGGCCCTTTTGTACGACTCAATCAGTACTCAGTTATAGTTTTCTTTCCTGTACTTTAGATATAATCAACCAAAACTTGCAATAATTTTCTTGCATTTTGAAGAATTCTTACAATTTCTGTTTAACTTTACTCCATAGACATCTTTACTTCAACANATCAGTTGCGTCTTAAACTCATCTCTAGTTTTCTCTCTCGAGGAAACTGCAAGACGCGTTGGATGACTGATGAGAAGAGGTTCCTCGCCTAATTTTCGTTGATGGCGAAAGTCCGAGTACAAAAGGCCCATAACTCCTCGCGCACGGCGCTCAAATCAAGGAGGGGCGCCTGAGGACGAGGCCGAAACTAGCTAAACTTTATAAATTACTTTGAGAGTTACAGATCATTAATTAAAAGTCACATGAAAAATATTTATTTTTGTCACCAGAGCTTAGCGATATAGGAGAGTAAAACTGAGTCCGTTATAAAATTTGATTTCTTGGTTTTGTGTTCACAGCCATCTCGGTATAAACATGATTGCCTACATCGCGGATGGTGCTTTCCGATATCTTGGAAATCTTAACGTGTTGTAAGTTTACACACGAGCATGTACTTGATCACTTGTAGTTTGTTTTCGGTGTGTTATCACCAACGTTTTATCAGTTACTTTCATGACAGACAGCAAAGTTGTTCTTTCTTCTTGTGACTTAGTTCTCCTTCAGTTAAAACATGCAAGCGAGTCTTCGACTCTGCTTATCTCCAATTTCTCGTGTTTTTATTTTTTGACGACAACCAGCAGTTAGATTCGCGCCGTTTTGACTAAACGCAAACTAAGTTATTGGTTTTGCCTTGACTACCGATGACACCAAACAGGTTTTATGTGATCTTGTTAGTCGCCTCATATTAGGGATCCGGAATCCAACATTTTTTGCGATGTTAGCGATTCTTTCTTTTACTTTTCTGATGTCGATTTGCTTGCTTTTCCCTCCAAATATCCGTCCAATTTGTCATTCATTTGCTCACTCAATATGCTTACCCAGTGACTCCCTGCTGAATTATCTTTTTCATACACTTGTAATAGTTTGTAATAACGTCCTTTCTTGACTCTACAGATATCTTGACTCAAATCGCCTCACCCTTCTTAACTCAAGGACGCTCGAAGGACTCTCAAACGTCAAAGATTTGTAAGTCAAAGAACTGAACTGTGCCATCGTGTGAGACAGTCTCAGAGGATCGACGACGCCCAAATTAAATGTCCCGATTTGAAATCCTTATCGGGTTTTTACCTGTTAGAGAGACTTACACAATCTGGGTTGCCAATTAGGCATCGTAGTCTATCGGTCAAAAGTTTGAGATAACTGATTGTGAAATTACTTTCTACACGCAGTTATATTAAATAAGCTATTCTCGTAGGCCCTTTTGTACGACTCAATCAGTACTCAGTTATAGTTTTCTTTCCTGTACTTTAGATATAATCAACCAAAACTTGCAATAATTTTCTTGCATTTTGAAGAATTCTTACAATTTCTGTTTAACTTTACTCCATAGACATCTTTACTTCAACATAATTTCATATGTTGGAAAAGGAGGATTTGATCATCTAAAAAAAATATCAAGACTGTAAGTATGGCAGGAAAGAACCGGGGGGAGATATTACGGCTTGTTTATATCATTTGAGTTTTAATCTGTTGAGTCAATGCTGGTTAAGCTTGGGGAATTTTTTGGCAAACGAAATTGAACTTTGAATTATTACGCCCGTTCACTGATACTAAAATGAAGTTCTTCGTTCTTTCAGCTTATGGGATGTCCCAGAAGCCTATCGCCAGACTATGCCACCAAGTACAGCTTTAACGAGAGGGAGTGGGCTCCACTGTGACTGTAACGTGCGCTGGTTAAAGGACTGGTTACTAGAGAGAGGTCTGAATGACATAACATGTGCCACCCCTACCAGGTTAGCCGGTGTCATGGTAACGCAACTAAAGGAAAGAGACTTCGATTGTGGTAGGTTTTAATTCAATATCGCTTCAGGAGAAGAGCGATTTTTTTTTCTAGCAATGTA